CAAATGTTCAACATTTCCAATTCAAATATACAGGACAAAAGTTTTGTAGTTAGCTTTCACTTTGGGTTTTATATCAGTTGAGTTTAGGAAAACAGTTTGAAGAAATTATAATAAATTTAACTTAACCAAAAGTTTGGATTAGGTTCTTTAACTTTAGAAACTAAAAAACCTAACACTACAGCATGGATAAATAAAGCAAAACCTTACCTTGTGGATCAAATCGGAGACACTCTTCAAGGTGATTTAGATATGAATAATTTCAAAGCAACTAATTTAAAATCTCCGAAAAATGATAATGACGCTGTTCACAAGAAATATTGACGGGAGCAAATAAATTCAATTGAAGTAAATAAAAACCATTTAGAATATGAAATAAGTAATGTGAAAAGATTCTTCAAACGTCAATTAAATAATAAAAATTTTATTAATGATACTAAACTAACCTGTGCCAGTGCCTTATATTGAATAGTAACTGGTTACTCTTCAATCACCCTAATCTCTAAAATACAACAAGAGGTAGAAAGTTTTATAAGTTTTATTCAAAAACAATTGGTTGATGTAGTGAACAAAATTTAATTTCATTAATATCTAAATTAGAGGATAAGATTACAAAACAAAAATTAGACATTCAACAATTAATAGATAACATTCCAGATGAAAATGAAGATATATTTCAACAGGAATTAAATGCTCTGGAAACTAAACTTAACGGTGAATTACAAAAAGAACTAACGATTATTAAACAACAAAACCTCTATTCAACAACAAATACAAAATATTGATGATAGTGTTACTCAACAACAGATTACCACTATTAATAATGAAGTTTTAAAACAGGACAAAAATATAGCCGCATTAGAAAAGCATCTCAAGGAAGAAAATAAATCATATTATTTCAATCTTCCTTTTAGAAATTTAACTTATAAAGATGCTTCTATTACTGATAATATTGATAAATCAAAATATTATGAATTGAAAAAATATGGATTTACATATTTTACATTTCTTACATTAGAGATGGTATTATTAACCCTCCAGGTCTTTTTGATAGAGTAGTTGATATTATTCATACAACACTTTTTACTTTCCGAGGATAACTTCAAATTTAAATTACTTTTCCTTTGCAGGTAAAAGTTGATTCAATATTTTTCAGACAAAACTCACGATATTCATGTAATCAATTTAACGCTCGTAAAGTTCTTCAGTTTATCAATGGTACACAAATGTGGAAACTAAAGAATTAGAAATTAACGACGAAAACAGCAAGCTTAATCACTTGTATGAAATTAAAACAAGTGGAAAAAATATAGATAGGTTTAGAACGTTAATCACACCAGATAAAGAAAAGATCTTCTTGGATTGAGTAATTTTGATATGATATTGGAGACGGAAATTCCACCATCAATGAATATTAATTAGAATTCCAGAACCACAAAAAGAAGGAGGAAAGCTATTCAGTTATGAGTTTTTACGAACTTCAGACTTTGAATACGTAAAATATTTTGTTAATAATGATATATTTACCTCAATTGATATTCATAAAAGTCAACAAAAACAAAAATTTTGATACCAGCAATAAGAGATGATGAGGCATATGTTAATATATCTATCTCTATTGAAAAACCAAAATTTTCAGTTCATCTAAACAAGATTAATGATTCGAAAGAACAAATGTCGTTAGTAACTGTAAAAGTTTATACCATGGACAAAAAAATTATCCAGCTTTTGGTTTATCAGAAGTTCACTTAATTCAATTACCTTAAAAATGTAACTAGAAAGCAGACATAACTACATGATAGGAAAACAAAATGAACTAAAAGAAAAACTAAAACACTTCAACAAATGCAGAAAAACATGGAGTAGAATTGATTCTGTTTTCAAAACATTAAGCACAATTCTAACAGTAGGGATAACAGTGGCAACAGCCGTAATGGCGGATTAATGCTTCCAATAATTGTTTTACATCAAAACAGAAATCTAATTATAAAAAGAAAACAGAAATTTTAAATACATATCTTAATGAATTATTTATATTTTTTGAAAGATCAAGAGAAGATAAGAACATAACCATTGAAGAATTAGAAGAATTCATTGAAATTTTAGATACATTTGATGTAGAAATATCATCTGTAAATATAAAGATAAAATAAATATTTAAAAATAAAAACTTAAAGAAAAGAATGGATAAAATTGGAAATTTAGACAAAGGACTATCCAAAAGACTTTTTTCATTGATATTCAATTCAATACCTAATTTATTTTCGCGTAAATTTGACAAAGAAGATGAAGAATCCTTTATATAGTTAATAATATGGATAAGGAGTTTAAAAATGAGGAGAATGAAATTAAAATATCAACCACAAATATGCTTTATTCAGAATTAATCATGAGAATAACTATTCTATTTAATGATTTTAAAATTAAAGGTCAAATTGAAATAGACGAATATATGAAGAGGGGGAATATAAACACGACACGACAGTATCTGGTTTCAATGCCCAATCTTTCCAAGCTGCTTATTCAAAGTCGCATGATACACCTGACGCCTCTGATTGGTATTTTACAGGAGAGATTATTTTCAGCAAAAATTATTTCAGAATAGTAAAAAGATCTAAAACTGGCAGAGGTGGAAATCAACTTAAAAAGATAAATGAATACAAAGGCGAAAATTGTTACATACCAAGCGATGGTTATTGTTTTATAAAGTGTGTAAATCACTTCATGAATAAAGACTTAATAAAGGAATTTAAAGAAACAAAAGAATTTGAAAAATTTATCAACAGTTTTAAAAAGAAAAAAGAAAAGGAGTGATGACAGTTGGAAGAATTAAGCTATTCAGCGATCGATTTAATACCAATTTTCAAATCTATAACCCAGTTTCCCCAGATGTTATAAATTAGTTATTGAAAATTGTTAGGGGGATGTGATAATGAAAATACACTCAACGTCCAACCTATCCAGCTGTAAATTGGTACTGAATAAGTTATCTTTCCCCATTCCAGCCCATCCAGTTGTAAATAGGTACTGAATAAGTCTGCTTTCAGTCTACCCAACTGTAAATAGGTACCGAATAAGTCTGCTTTCAGCCTACCCAGGTGTAAATAGGCACTGAATAAGTTCTCTTTCCCCATTCCCAATAAATAGGTACTGAATAAGTCATTGTACCCCAGTCTCGGAAGGCTGAAAGCAGCCACTGTATAAGTCATCTTTTCCCATTCCAGCCTACCAGCCTGAAACATTTATTCTACTTTTCACTTCCCAAATCGTGTTAGATATATTTTAGAAAACTTTCTAGAGAGAGGCTCCTCTACTCCTCTAAAATCTGCAAAGAGATGCTGAGGCGCCCGGATGGGCTCTCGTCCTCGCTACGTTACTGAGCTAGTGTCAATAAGTAACAACATCTGGCAGAGAAGTATTCGTGTTGCATAATTGACATTTAAAGGGATTTTAAAGAGGTTTTAAATTCTATTATATGTAAAGGGGACACTGGTAGAGTTTATTTGCACCATTCCTATTTTCAATCAGATGTCTGTGGTTCCTACAATTCCAATAAAACTAAGTGTTTAATGCAGATTCCCAGTTGCTGTTCGTTGCCGGACAAAGAAAATAATGTGAAGATTCTAGAAAAGTCCTTGTGCACATCATGTTGATAAATGAAATATTTCTCTCCAAAGTGATGGCGTCAATAGGGGTACGGGGTGGGGATCTGCTTTCCTTATCAGACGCTTCATGCAGGCCCACTGTTCTAATAAGTTTCCCTCATTGCATACAGTAGTGCGCTGCTCTTTCATTTCATTTTTGAATTGATTGCATGTACTAAAATAAACCATGAATTTAAGTTGACAATACAAGATACAACATTCACATTCAATTTCAGTTATTCTTCCTAGTAACAGTGTACTCAACATAACACATAACAAAACTACAATCCCTTTAAGCACTGAGTCAGTTTTGCACCACATAACTGTAGAGTACTACGGAAGCTCAAATACGACAGATTTTTAAATTTTTGAATTTGTAAAAATATCTTTGAATTTGTAAATATACTTTTGAATTTAAAATTCAATATGCCCGTGACAACTTTATGCTGATGATGCTGAAATCATTTATTGCCCCATGTCTTGGTACGGACTAATGAGACATTAATTATACCCCAATGAGATAGTAATTATCCCAAGTCTAGTGGCCATTTATCTAAGAAAGATTTGATTTCCCTTTAAAAATACCACCGACTGCCACCCATTTGCCTATCCCAGTTCCCTTGCTGGTTAACTTGAACCATTCCTTTTTGAAACATATTAACGGTTATCTGTTTTTGCTTAATATATACAGTCAAGTAACCTAATTCGTGCTAACCTATTTTTCGTGCATCTCCGGAAATGAGTGATAATTTACATGTGCGACCTCGTGTGAACTCCGCATTAGTTTGTTTTGATAAACATGGGTTATCTGTACAATATCAGCTAGTAGAATGAATCCAGTAGTTTCAAGCAAGGTAAAATGTGTTAATGTATACTTTGACAAATATAAAATGGCTGATTTCAACTATTACCAGATATCACAATTTTTTATCGGCCGAATTTCCTTATAATCCAAAGCTGTAATCGAAATTACAAGTGTCTTATTTTGTCAATCACTATTTGTTGTTTAAATCATTGTTCTTTGAAGAATTTGTCTTTAGTTATAATGAAATATTATTAAAGATAAATACTAAGTGAAGTTAATTATACCACCCGGTATCCATACAACGTGTTATTCTCGACTAACTTATAGTTACAACAATTTCAAAGTCAAAAGTATTTTAACAAATTTAAAAGTAATGCTACAAAAATAAATTTCGAAATTCATAAATTCAAAAACATGTTGTATTTACGTTTCCGTACATATCCGATGTCTGGCTGATAAGCTAATAGAACAAAAAAACTATGTTAAAAATGCCTAGAATTGAGTATAAATAGACGTGGCAAATTATTGTTTTATTTTCACTTGTAACTGAGAAGATGCATGCTGGAAGATTATTGTACCCTGTGGTTCTGTTCTGCATAACCTCTTGGACTGTTGTTGCTCAAGGTATGTTATCTTTTTGTTTCATCGTAGCTTTGTACATTGCCCTAAATTAAACATTAGGGAAGTACAGATGTGTTTAAAAAGTATGTATGTCTTAACGTAGTTTTCCACATTTGAGAATTTTTCTCCCGATTTCAATGACAAAGTGATTGCCGAGCGTCAGAATATTTGATCTTCTGATTTTCTGATGCTGGAAATTTCTTGTTCTTGTATTGTAAATAATATTTTCCCATGTGTTGAGGGAAAGGTTTTACCTCGAAAGACTTGCACAGGTTGTTTTATGTCTACTTTCACTTCCAAAATGTAAGATTTATTCTCCGTCCTCCTAGAGTATTGTATCTATTTTTATAGTTTATATTGGCGTCCTTGTCTGTCGGTCCGTCCGTCCGTCCGTCCATATTTCTCGTAAACACTCTAGAAGTCACTAGACTAAACTTGGTGAGATTGTTAGTAATCATCCAGGGATGAACCCTATTGAAAATCAAATAAGCCAAAAAGTATTAAGTATGAGTTATTGACCTTGTTCTTGATAACGCGTTGAAATTTTAGCTCGTAAACGCTCTAGAAGGCATTAAACTTGAGAAATGTTGACGAAACTTGGTGTAAGTGTTTGTAATCACCCAACTATGAACATGGATATTTTTTGTCTAATTTCACTTTCAAAATCGCGTTAGATTTTATTCTCTTTCCTCCTAGAGTATGATATTGTCCAAGGGAAGAAAACTGCTATTATTAAAATGAGTCTCATTAAATTTTCGGGTAATAAAAATATAATAAAGTTCTTGAGACCTATCTTGTTGTCTTGGTATATAATTTAATAATTTTGGTATTTAATTAAAATTCTTGGTACATGATATGAATTTCTTGGTATTTGTAGGCGGAACTAACGAATTTACGACTCCAGGTATGTTATCTTATAGTTCTTATTTCCACGTCACTTTGCACACTGCCTTAAATTTTACATTAGGGAAGTACAGATCTGTTTAAAAAGTATGTATGTCTTAACGTAGTTTTCCACATTAGAGAATTTTTCTCTCGATTTCAATGACAAAGTGATCATCTAGTGTCAATATTTTTGATCTTTTTATTTTCTGATGTTGGAAATTTCTTGTTCTTGTATTGTAAATAATATTTTCCCATGTGTTGAGGAACAGGTTTTACCTCGAAAGGATTACACAGGATTATTCTTTGTCTTCTGTCACTTCTAAAATCGCGTTAGATTTATTTTCCGTCCTTATCAGTGGCTCAGTCAGGATTACGTCCGAGGTGGGCGAAATATCTGAGATTGGAAGAATTTCTAACCTGGTCATGGGACTTTGGCCTGAAAAACTTGTTTTCGGGGCTGCTAATCGGGTATGAAATTTTCCAATTGAAGAAAAACTGCCATAATTAAAATTAGTCAGACCTAACTTATAGTCTAGGTACATAATTTTATGATTTTGGTTATTCAGTCCTATCCCGGAGGAATGACGTCTAGTTTTACTGTAACTTGCATCAATGTCAACTACAGGAGTATAAATCACAACTTTATTTGGTTCTTAGTCGGTAAAAACTACAAAAGAACAAAATGAAAATACACTTAATACAATCTTACAGTGAAAGATACATGAAATAATGTAATGAAATACGAATTTACGTTTGCAAAATAATGATCCTCATTGCGTTCCGTACTTTTAAAAACTTCAAAAAAGGGAATGGATAAAAATGCAACTTAAATCAATATCTAGCGATCAAATATAGAGTTAAACGTATTTAATAGCATAAAAATAAACAGGTAAGTAAAATTATAAACTTACAGCGTGGTAGAGTTATCTATCTACGGGAAAAGAAGGAATTTAGAATGTAAACACGCCGATTTGTAAAGGTGCTTCCGCTAAAATTATGAACTAATGGGAGATAACTGTAGATTACTACGGCGGTCTAATAAGACAATCGCGACAGAACATTGGTATATAATCAAAATTCTTGCAACTTAAATATAAATTTCTTGGTTATTGTAGGAAGGCCAACGACGACGAGGAGGACGACTCCGGGTATGTTATCTTATAATTCTTATTTCAACGTCACTTTGCACACTGCCCTAAATTTAACATTAGGGAAGTACAGATGTGTTTAAAAAGTATGTATGTCTTAACGTAGTTTTGCACATAAGGGAATTTTCTCCCGGTTTCAATGAGAAAGTGATTGCCGAGCGTCAGAATATTTGATCTTCTGATTTTCTGATGCTGGAAATTTCTTGTTCTTGTATTGTAAATAATATTTTCCCATGTGTTGAGGGAAAGGTTTTACCTCGAAAGACTTGCACAGGTTGTTTTATGTCTACTTTCACTTCCAAAATGTAAGATTTATTCTCCGTCCTCCTAGAGTATTGTATCTATTTTTATAGTTTATATTGGCGTCCTTGTTGTCTGTCCGTCCGTCCGTCCATATTTCTCGTAAACACTCTCGAAGGCACTAGACTAAACTTGGTGAGATTGTTAGTAATCATCCGGGGATGAACCCTATTGAAAATCAAATAAGCCAAAAAGTATTAAGTATGAGTTATTGACCTTGTTCTTGATAACGCGTTGAAATTTTAGCTCGTAAACGCTCTAGAAGGCATTAAACTTGAGAAATGTTGACGAAACTTGGTTTAAGTGTTTGTAATCACCCAACTATGAACATGGATATTTTTTGTCTAATTTCAATTTCAAAATCGCGTTAGATTTTATTCTCTTTCCTCCTAGAGTATGATATTGTCCAAGGGAAGAAAACTGCTATTATTAAAATGAGTCTCATTAAATTTTCGGGTAATAAAAATATAATAAAGTTCTTGAGACCTATCTTGTTGTCTTGGTATATAATTTAATAATTTTGGTATATAATTAAAATTCTTGGTACATGATATGAATTTCTTGGTATTTGTAGACGGATCTGACGAATTTACGACTCCAGGTATGTTATCTTATAGTTCTTATTTTAACATCACTTTGCACATTGCCCTAAATTTAACATTAGGGAAGTACAGATGTGTTTAAAAAGTATGTATGTCTTAACGTAGTTTTCTTGTTCTTGTATTGTAAATAATATTTTCCCATGTGTTGAGGAACAGGTTTTACCTCGAAAGGATTACACAGGATTTTTCTTTGTCTACTGTCACTTCTTAAATCGCGTTAGATTTATTTTCCGTCCTTATCAGTGGCTCAGCCAGGTTTACGTCCGAGGTGGGCGAAATATCTGAGATTGGAAGAATTTCTAACCTGGTCATGGGACTTTGGCCTGAAAAACTTGTTTTCGGGGCTGCTAATCGGGTATGAAATTTTCCAATTGAAGAAAAACTGCCATAATTAAAATTAGTCAGACCTAACTTATAGTCTAGGTACATAATTTTATGATTTTGGTTATTCAGTCCTATCCCGGAGGAATGACGTCTAGTTTTACTGTAACTTGCATCAATGTCAACTACAGGAGTATAAATCACAACTTTATTTGCTTCTTAGTCGGTAAAAACTACAAAAGAACAAAATGAAAATACACTTAATACAATCTTACAGTGAAAGATACATGAAATAATGTAATGAAATACGAATTTACGTTTGCAAAATAATGATCCCCATTGCGTTCCGTACTTTTAAAAACTTCAAAAAAGGGAATGGATAAAAATGCAACTTAAATCAATATCTAGCGATCAAATATAGAGTTAAACGTATTTAATAGCATAAAAATAAACAGGTAAGTAAAATTATAAACTTACAGCGTGGTAGAGTTATCTATCTACGGGAAAAGAAGGAATTTAGAATGTAAACACGCCGATTTGTAAAGGTGCTTCCGCTAAAATTATGAACTAATGGGAGATAACTGTAGATTACTACGGCGGTCTAATAAGACAATCGCGACAGAACATTGGTATATAATCAAAATTCTTGCAACTTAAATATAAATTTCTTGGTTATTGTAGGAAGGCCAACGACGACGAGGAGGACGACTCCGGGTATGTTATCTTATAATTCTTATTTCCACGTCACTTTGCACACTGCCCTANATTTAACATTAGGGAAGTACAGATGTGTTTAAAAAGTATGTATGTCTTAACGTAGTTTTGCACATAAGGG